GTGATTTTAATCCGGTTAATGAATAACGTTCCTGGCGAGACAGCAGTGGCTGGTACAACAAAGACAGCGGTAATAAATTCAGCAACAACCGCTTGAGTAACGATCATTTGGATGAATTTCGTAAAATCAAGTGCTTTTTAGTGTCTAAGACGACATTTCAGTGTATATTTCAGATAAGTAAAACTTTAAAATTTATTATCGACTATCTTATGTTGGATAAATTAAGCAATTTTTGGATCTTATAGGTCATAATTTCAGTTCTAGCGCCCTTGGTTATACTGCCAAGACTGTACCGTTTCTATTGTTTACATGACCTATATGACCTATCAGATATTTTGACTAATATAGACGCTCTTGAGCGTAAAGTCGAGCTAGTTATTTTGGAAAACTGAGAAAAAAGACATGGTATCCAAAGAATTTACTTAGAGTTCAGTTCGGTAAAAAATTATGATGTAATAAATTGATAACATATTAACTTAATTCTGYCTTGACTTATTACAAACAAAGACTATCTTGTGAAAATGAAACACCATTGTCACAGGAAGCCCACGTAAGCGATCCATGATCGTCTAGTTGGCTATAAAACTGCTTACTTGCAGCTTGCAGTTCGTTGTAAATGTCCATAAAGGTTTCCCGCTCATATTTCATATATAACATCAAAACTCCCCTTCCAGTTTTTGCTTCTCAAACACCAACGTTCTTCGATCAGTTTTCGCTCTCTTTCACTCCGACTTCCCTCTTTTGTAGAAAAATGAAGGGAAAAATGAATGAAAGAAGAATAGAAATAGATAGAGAATTAAAGAAAAGAACAAGAAGCATAAACGCAACTACACTGACTTACACATCAAAAAATCTTTAGAAAATTTAAAACTTTAATCACTTTCAATCACATATATATTAAATTATTATAAATTATTTTGACTGTTTCATCAGGTTACATGAAAAAAATGAAAAGTAACTTTCTTTCTTCCCCAATTGCCCAACTTGTTTACTACACATTTACACCCTCATGCAGTTTTAATGTCGCTGGTCTCTTGTGTTCTACACTATAATATCAGTCAGAAAACCACCTTCAAAACAATAATATTAATACAAATAAATCTATTGCATAACGAAAAGACATACGTTGCATTTGATGATGTGGATAAACATATTTTCTATATTTATCTATTTCTTATCAAAAAAAACAAAAAACATGCAAGTTTTATTTTTGAGCTCTGACATACGGACATCATCAGATCACACGCTATATATCAATAGAGCTCTGAAGCCTTTACGTTACGTACGTATACCGCATCCACAATGCATTGCAGGATTGGGTTAGAACGTAACATTAGTGGATTTTTTTTTGGTTTTCACTAGAAACTAATCCCACAATGCATTGAAAACCCAGCAGTGACGTAAAATGTTCAGAGTCTATCATTCCATGACAATGATCTACTTATTTATGGTTTTGAGGTCGAAGCTTCATTTCACTTGTTTTAAAAGACTGATAGTTAGTTTTGTAATCGTACCACTCTAAGCCACCCAATTCAACTACGTTTCCTAAATACTTTCCATTAAGATTAGAGTTTGCACAGTGATAATACCACCACGCACCGGTACGCATCACTGCACAATTACCGCCTGTACCATCGTTATCTCTATCTTTGGTGGTAAAAGCCCTGTTATTATGAAATGCCATTGAGTCTCCAGCTGTACCCGAATACCCGCCAACACTCAACCTGTACTTGTCTGACTCATCACCTACACTAAAGCTACCATATTTGGCGTAGATCTGAGTTCCTTCCCAGTCCTCGATTTCTACGCGAAGACTTGATGGTGCTCTTGCTGTCAGTCGATGGATGTAATCGTTACCCAACCAAAACTCGCCATTCAGGTTTCCAAAACCTGTTTTGTATTGCTGCCAATTGCGATAAAAATCGACCGATCCGTCTTTACGACGCTGGAACACAGTCCATCTCCCACCGTCAGTTGTCATGTCACAATACACTTGAAAGCTACGTTGGTTGTCAGGATTCACTGTGTATTCGCCATTACGTCTCTCTCCTAATTTGAAGATATCCGAACAATCTTTAATGTGAATCTTGATAATGGATCTTGATTCTTTATGGAAAACACCAGCACTTGTTGCAGTACAAACGAACACACCCGAATCTGTTGTTTTTGAATCTTTGAGGATCAACGAACCATCTCTTACTTCATGCCTGCCAATAGGAAGAACGCCATTTTCTTTTCTCCATGTGATGACTGGTTTAGGTTCTCCTGTAGCACTACAATTCAAGTGAATAGTCTTTCCAGGGAGGGTGTCGTAAGATGAAGGAGGTGTTACAGTGAATCTCGGTAGCTCAACAACAATAAGAATTGTTCCTTTTGTAACTGAGCCAAGAAGATTTTCAGCTTTACACAAATATGTCCCAGAATCCTCTTTCCTTGATCTCAAAAGTGTCATTTGTCCTTCTGTGATAACGCTTCGACTGATATTCATAGAACCAATTGCCTTTGACCACGTGATCTTTGGTTTCGGATGTCCTGTCACGTGACATTTCGGCATAACAATGTCCGTACCTATCTTTTCATATACTGGTCCACTGATCAAGGTCACTCTAGGTCGAGAGTTCACTTCAATTGTCGATTTGCTGTGTTTGTTACCAAGAATGTTAAAAGCTTTGCATACATATGTTCCTGTATCAGATG